TCTGACAGTCAAATTCTTCCTACCTGTTCTCAACTAGCTCTACATAGAATACACTATTCATTCCATCTGGCGTCTCATTTTAATCTCTTTTCCTACGAAACCGGGCCCGAAGATCACAGTGTCAAGGGTGTTACCTATTAACTTAACCCACTGCGATAAGATCATTGTAAAACTTTCATCTCCTTAAAACTGGTTTCGCTCGTTTTCCATGTTGATATCAGGCGACTAATTAAATCGGTTGTGTTTTTAAACAAGAATTCATAAAGCTTTTGTAGGACTCGAACTTAGGGGTAGGATTAGAAAGCTTATGTTAACTACAAAATGACAAATTGTAATGGGTGCCACTGGCAACAACAGAATAGCTAGAACTGTCTTTCGATTTTCTGAAGTTTCTCCTTGATACATTCTTTCATTAGCCATATGTTTACAAAAGTTCACACTACAATTTCAGCTGAGTTTCCTTCGACTCACTTACAGTAAACTGCAAAATCTTAATTGAAAATTACATACCATTGGGATTACATCCCAAACGTGCCCGTAATCAAGCCAATGCCATTATGAAAGCTTCAACATTTTAACGTTAACTGTTAAGATACACCAAAGAAGATAGACAATTAAATAAATCATAAATACATCATAAAATAATTTATCGTTCAAAGTTTTGGTTCGGCCGAGCATGCTTAACATGCGTATGTCCTGCTGCAGATGGTTGCTTCTCACCCGCTGGCGCTACTATTGTTTGCTTGGAGCAAAGTTAAACCCTTTACTTCTCAATTCGGTTGATAAAAACTTTGTAATGAAAAGGCCAGCTTCGTACTAGTGCAGGTCAGACATCAAACTACTTTAAAAATTGGTAAGGATTCCTTATAAACAACATTACAATATCAAAAGCCTCAGGTTTGTGTAATACGGGACCAGTAATAGTAGGGGTATGTGGAGGGGAGAGAAAATAAAAACTAAATTATGAACTACTAGAACTAAAACTAAACAGCATACTAAACTAAAACTAATAAAACTAAATAGTTAACTGCAACGAAATACGTATTTAGTTATATATAGTTAAATACGGTGTTGTTTATAAGGGATCCTGAGCAAAATGTTATATGCTAAAGCCGCAATAAGTCTAACGTCCGCCACTATCCCATTACTGAGGTGGGTATATTAATATGACCTAACGCCGTTCGGTAATGAAAACCTAACTTGACGCCTGAAGCAAACGCGTCCCCGAAGTGCTGTCTCCTACGGTAAAGGCAACAACTGTGAAATTATTTCGCGTTACCTGATGAAGGCCGAAGCAGGAAAGCGCCCTCCGGATAGTAATTTTGGGCCAGACAAGCTTCAGCGCCACGCCTGTCCACATCTTGCCAAAAGAGTCTTGCAAGGTCATCCTCGGACCCCTTTGCCATATTCTCCTCCCCTCCTCCGAGACCATTCCCCAGCGCTTTGTCTCGCCTCATAGCACCAGATCTTTTCAGCCGGACGCTGTGTGCTTCCTCCTCAATAACAGCAGAGGCAGAAAGGTCGGTTTTTGCGTTCTGTTTTCTGATACGTAACGAACGGCTGCAGTTCCAGTTAGTCAAGTAGTTCCTCCGTCGACCTTGCCTTTCTCCAGAAATGGAGCTGTCAGCTATGTTAGCAGCTATCTCTGATGCCGAGCTGCTTTCCAGCAGTTGGCTTGGGTACTTTATGTTTTCTTTCAACTCCTCTCCCGTTGACTCAAACGGTTTTGATGTATCCTGGAGGGAAACACACAGACCACTGTCCTGGGAGACCTCCGACTCTATCGGTTTGTTGACCTTTTTGATCGATGTCTTCACTTCCGCTGCCGCCATCTTCCAAAGCTTCTGGGGTGTGCTTTTAGCCAAAGGTTCACCGATTGACTCCTGAAGCGAAGTCAGTTCCTTTATGAGCTCCTTCTGGAGGGAGAGAGTTCGCTTCTCCGCTGAGGAT